GTCTCACTAACTCTGATGGCACATAATAACCATTTATTGGTGTTGGACCGCCAGATTAAAGTGATAGGTATCAGATTTCTCTGCTGTAAAATTACTTTGTTTTTCCCTTCTATCATTAATAAGTATCTTCAGAGGAGATTTTGAGACCCTATAAAAATCTCATTCCTCATCTAGTTTTTGCTCAGTGATTTTACTATCCCTTGATGTTTCTTGCCTGAATTATTACTATGGCAGTTGCCAAATGACGATTTTCTAATTCCATTATTCCTTTTCCTTTTATTATTTGGCATTTTACTCCACGGAAGAGCTATCTCTTCTTCCCATTTATTTATTCATTTATTTATTTATACCAGCGGGGACTCAAGCGTTCCTATTTTATTTAATGGGTTATAATCCTTTATTATCAGGATTTATTTTGATGTCATACTGTCTCAGATTTGGCCAATGGGAGCCCCTGTAAGCTGGCTTTTGTGTCCTCTCTTTCCTTCAAGCACAAGATGTTTTGGTCTCCGCTCGTTCTTTCTCTGCCCCAGCTCTGGAATCAACCATTTTCTCCAAGGGACATTGATTACTTTTAATGGAGAGCAGTATTTAGAAATCAAGATCTAAGCGCCAGATAATTGCTCTGGGATATCTCTGCTTTCAGGTCCTTGAAATGGACAGACCTAGGAAGTCTGTGTTTGTATATATGTACATGTACACATACACACATTGACATCTCTATTTGTTTTTATATCTGTCTCCATATATTGAAAAGCAGGAAATTATACCAAAACCTCCAACTTACCTTCACAACTACAGGGTTTGTTCTAGGTTTTCCCTTTCCTTGTTTTTTATCTCTTCTCCAACAGTGAGAAATTTGACTCCCATTATCTTCAACATATTTATTTACTCAATTCCCTTGTGTGTAGCCAATCTCTGGACCTCCTTGGCCACCATCTGCCTCAGATGCCCTCCTTGTGTGGACTCTGACCCCTGTGGGGCCACCACACTGCATGGATAACATAACCTATGTGTACAGACTGTGGGCTGCCTTCCTATCCTGTCCATCATCTTCCTCCACATAAGCCCTGACTGACTCTAGGAGGGAAGATCTAATTTTTAAATGCTGGCCAAGTCATTCAAGCTTTGTTTGATTTTTTTAAGCAGTTTGTGGGTTAATCAGAACTTAATTAGTAGGCTGATGGGACCTCTGTTCTAGATGATATGAAGGAAATATTGAGAACCAATGACCAGAGATGAACATGATCTGTTTAATAGGGACTTTAGTGAGAACCATAGTATCTTCCTGACTTAGGAGGAAAGATGAGCATGTACACTTCCATGGCCTTCTACATTCCCCATTGGGCTAAGCAGAATAAAGAGTGTAGCTTTTGGCCCTTTTGGTAACTTTCCATTGAGCCTAAGTTTGTTTTTATTTTGTTTTCTCTAGTTGTTCTTACTGCTTCTTAACACTCTTTAGAAGCCCACTCTGTGACACTAATTATCTTGTCTTTTTTGGAGTTCAGAATATAAATTCTTCAGTGAAAAGGAAGATTAGGACAAAGAAAACTTATTTGTTAGAGATGCAGTCCTATTGAAAAAAAGGGTGTAGAAATGACAGATTTGTGGAGTACCAGGTTACTCAACTGACAGGCTTTTGCCAATCTTTTCTTGTTGTCGACCAAGTTAGATCAGGTCCTCGGATCAAGGAGAGATGAAAACCCTCCTTCTCTGAAGCAGAACCTTTTCTGTCCCTCTCAGTCATTATTCTCTTAAGCAAGAGGATAGCAGGAGGTATGTCACTGTGAGGTAATGTCTGGGTGAGGCAGGCAGCCCCTGGTGGGGGATGGAGGTGGGGGAAGCATGGGTCCTTTTTGCATATCATAGGAATTTAGAGAATAATAGTCTCCCACTTGATTGGAGAACATCTATAGAAGGAAGAATGAGATGCATAGGTAAGGTTTACTCGCCATGGAGTAACATGGTTAGAAGTTAGGTGATAGCTACTGGAAGTTTCTGAAAACTCAGAGCTCCTTCTCATGCACAGACATAATGGTCATCAAACCCTTCTCCTTTAGCCATACATGCCTGGTCAACATTTTATCTTTGTCCACATCCTTCTTCCTTTCCTCATGTTTGTTTATTTTAATTTTGTTTTTTTGGGGGGGTTGTTTTTCACTTTTCTTTCTTTGGCTTTCGTATATTTCTAGTATAGGGAATTAGGAAGTGGAGATGGTGAGTAAGAAGAAATAGAGAAGAGGAAAATTTTTAAATACTGCCCTTTAATGTGGTGGAAATTCATGTTGACTTCATAGTCTGAGTAAGCATATGTAAATAATTTGTAAATCATATGAAAATAAACTTGTGGCCTTCCAGGATTTTTTTTCACACGCTCGGATGTGCCTCTTGGGAAAACCACTTTAGTGAGGGGTGATATGGTTATAGTGGTATGTAAACAGGGGTTGATATTTACCATAACCATTCGACTCGAGTGTCCTTTTGTTGATGTTGAGCATCACTGGAAAGTTTTCTCTTTCCCTGGTTACTTCCTTCAGAGGCACGTATATTTTATACTTTGGTCTTCTTTTGACAATAGTCCAAGGTATCAGATTGCTGCTCTGTTTTTAGTGGGCTCCATATTTAATCCCTCTGTCTTTTGCCTTCATTCCAAATTCAGGAATTAGTCTCCTATGCTATGCTCATATTTATGTTGTTCTACAGACCTAAGCTTTGTGTGCTGTTAATACTACCATTATTGTTTCTTAAAATGAACTTTATAGATCAGTTCCGGTATTTCTACAGATGAGTGTTAAATCTATACAACATTATGCCATCAATTTTTTCTTTTTGCTTAATGTTTTCCTTAGAATGCTACGGTGCCAGGCACTGTGTAGACACCTACTAGGTGTTTCTTGACCAGCTAATGTCCTGTCATCCATAGCATCCTACACATAATTTCCCAGGCATGGGTCACTCTATTTTCATTTTTCACCCTTCCTGTTGGTCTAAGGTTCTATAAGAGAAGCAGCATCTTGTGGTTAAGAACGTGTGTTGTGGAGTTGGTGTGATGGGGAGGGGGGATATTTATGAATTTATTAAAGATACATTCTTTGAACTTAACATTACTTATGGAAATGCATTGCATTATTACAACAGCCAGATTTGCCGACGGCAATATTGAGAGTGAGAAAAAATAATTTAGGGAGAAATAATTGTTTCAACATTAACCATATATATATATATATATATATATATATATATATATATATGGGGCAACAACGTGGTGATTAAGAGCATGGTTTTAGAGTTCGACAGCCTTGGTTTTGATTCTGGCTGTGCTAATTTTTTTTTTAAGTTATTATTTAAATTCCAGTTACTTAAGATACAGTTATTTATAGTGCAGTGATTCAACACCTCCATACATTGCAACAAGTGCACTCCTTAATATCTCTCTTTTTTTTCCCCCCTTCACTGTGTAGAAGCTTTTTATTTTGTTGTAGTCCCAGCAGTTTATTTTTGCTTTGTTTCCCTGGCCTCAGGAGACATACGTAGAAAGAAGTTGCTATGGCTGGTGTCAAAGTTGTTACTGCTTGTGTTCTCTTCTAGAATGGTTTTTAGTTTCAAGTCTCACGTTTAGGTCTTTAATCCATTTGGAATTTATTTTTGTGTATGATGGAAGAAAGTGGTGCAGTTTCATGCTTTTGCATGTTGCTTTCTAGTTTTCCCAACACCATTTGTTGAAGAGACTGTCTTTTTGTCATTGGATATTCTTTCCTGCTTTGTCAAATATTAATTGACCATATAGTTGTGGGTCCATTTCTGAGTTTTCTATTCTGTCATTTACATGTCTATTTTCTATGCCAGTACCATACTGTTTTGATTACTGTGGCTTTGTAATATAACTTGAAATCTGGAATTGTGATGCTTCCAGCTTTGCTTTGCTTTTTCGTGATCGCTTTGGCTATTCTGGGTCTTTTGTGGTTCCATACAAATTTTAGGATTATTTGTTCTAGCTCTGTGAAAATGCTGTTGATACTTTGCTGGGGAATGCATTGAATGTGTAGATTGTTTTGGGTAGTATAGACATTTTATCTATTTTTCTTCCAGTCCATGAGCGTGGAATATCTTTCCCTTTCTTTGTGTCCTCTTCAATTTCTTGCATAAGTATTCTATCGTTTTCAGAGTACAGATCTTTCAGCTCTTTGGTTAGGCTTATTCCTAGGTATCTTATTGTTTTTGGTGTAATTGTAAATGGGATTGATTCCTTAATTTCTCTTTCTGCTGCTTCATTGTTGGTGTATAGAAATGCAACAAGACTTCTATATGTTGATTTTGTATCCTGCAACTTTATTCAATTTGTTTATCAGTTCAAAAAACAAAAAAGAATTGTTTTGTGTGGAGTCTTTCAGACTTTCTATATATAAAGTATCACGTCATTTGCAAATAGTGAACATTTTACTTCTTCCTTGCTGATTTGGATGCCTTTTATTTCTTTGTGTTGTCCGATTGCTATAGCTAGAACTTCCAGTACTGTGTTGAATAAAAGTGATAAGATTGGACATCTTTGTTTTGTTCCTGGTCTTAGGAGAAAAACAACTTTTCCCCATTGAAGATGTTGAAAAAACTAGTGTTTTTTTTTTTTTTCATGTATGGCCTTTATTATGTTGAGGTATATTCCCCCTAAGCCTACTTTGTTGAGGGTTTTTATCAAGAATGGGTATTGTACTCTGCTAGACAGTATTATTTTGGAAAAGTTATTTAATCTTTCTAGGTTACATTTTAGTTTTTATATCTACTCTAAAAATGAGACATAATGTTTATTACCTACTTCAGAGGCTTACTTTAAGGAATGGATTAAATATTATATATGAAACACCACGAGAGTGGGTATTTATCAAGCACTCATTACTTGTTAATGATGTCACCTTCTTTTTATTAATAGCGCATTGATCCTGAGTTCTAGCCTGTACTTCCTTGAACACCTGTTCCTGACGTGTTATAACTTAACATCCTATCAGGTTTGCAACCGTGCGATATGATCAAGGAGCCAAGAACATTCGGAACCAGTTCATGCACCTGACAAACTACAGTGTGAATAAGAAGAGTGGAGACTATGTCAGGTACTAGCTACATCTGAGTCAGGAGCCAGAGAAGTCAGTTCCACGTGCAGCTGTTGTGGTTGTGGAAAGTCAGCTCATTGTCCTACATTTATCTCTATGTTACCTGTGGGAAGTCATCAGTCACTTAGCACATTTAACTACCTGCTTCTCCATTGCTTGCCCAGTTACAGTATCACCTTTCTTTACCAAAATATGCCTTCCCAAATTACGTCTCCACTGTCTTTCCTCACTTAACTTACGGGTGGGAATTTAATAGGCACATGGAACTTTTTAGAAGTCAAGAAATGAGATCACTTCAGTACTTGGCAAAATGTATCAAAAGCTTTAAAAATATTGGTACCCTTTGACCCAGCATTTCCATTTCTAGGAACTTAACCTTAAGAAGTAATAAGTGACATGCATACAAGATTAGAGAAAAGCATCTTCATGACTGTACATCGTCAGGTGGAAAAAACAGGTTGTCAGACACTACTTTCAGTTTAATTTCTTTTTTGAATATAGATGATAACTAAAGCTGTTTATGTTTGCTGAGGGGGAGAAAATGGAAGCTAGACGGGTATATACTAAAATGTTAGCATTGCTTAACTATGTGGATGGGATTATGAGCGGGTGACTTCTGTTTTTGTCTCTGTGCTTTTATGTATTGCCTAAATTTTTCTGAAGTAAATACTTGTATGATTGAGAGAAAAAAGTTAGGAATAAATTAAATGAAGAAAGAAATGAGGCCATCTCAGAAAAGGATTCAGTGGAAGGGAGTACCAGCCCAGCTGTGTAGAAATATTCCTTCTGCTCTGTTTTCTTTCATCCTGATAATTTTGCCAGAAAGTGGAAAAATAAAAAAGAAACCCAAACATTTACTTTCTACTCAGACTAAAAATAGGTGTCTAGAAGGTCCAAGGAAAGAAAGAAAAGAATCTGGAAGTGATGGCATAGTTGCCAAAGCTATATAGATTTCATGGAGTGTCCTGTGGCCAGTGTTTGGAATGGTTGAAGATACCATATCCTTCACTCTGGAAGATGAGTGGACATGCAACTGGTGGATGGTGGGGTGAGAATGAGGGGGCAGCTGCAAAACATGGGTTTCAGATTGCAGGACCCTTCCAATGGTCATGGCAGTGTACCCTGTTTGCCAGTCTGCTCTAGCATTGGGGTACTTCATTGCTTTGACTGTTGCTCTAATGCATTCTCCCTTCAGTGATACTTCAGAAAGTATATATAAAAAAAAAAAATCAGTGTCTGCTACTACAAAGGAGAAGGTTGCTTCAGATGCTAAAGCAGTTCCATGCTGGGTTAGCTCATTAAAATGCTATGCTGTGTTAGCTCACTAGCCCACCCAGACTCAATTCTGGTCTGAAAATGGCATTAGAAGTTGTTTTGTGGGCTCATGTGCAATGTACCCCAAAGACTAGGTTAGTATCCCTGAACATTTCACTGTATTGATATTATTACCACTCTTAAATTGTTTACATTCTTTCACATATTTCTTCCACTCTTTCATGATACATAATTGTTTGCTTAAATGCCTTCTCCCCTACCTGCCTCCACAGGGAAGCTAGGTATGCATCTTCATTTCAATGGTAGAAAGGGCTATATGACAGAAGGACCAAGAAAATGCTGAGTGGAGGTCAGCAAAGTGGATGTTTTCCTAAAGATTAAAAGGACAAGTGTTTGTAAAGAATCTGATTTCTACAGCCAGGCCTATTTGCATGTGTGACCATGATCTGTTCCTTTGTTTTAGCTGTGATGATCCAGAAGTGGAGGATTATGGGAACAAATGGAGCATGAGTGCCATGCTTAGGTATCTGAAACAAGAAGGCAGAGATACGACTGGTGAGTTCCAGGACTTTTTCGGTTTTGACCTCTCTTCTCTGTGTAACCTGTCCTGGCCTTTCAGCATGAGTCACTGCCTCTAGTTCTGTTGGTGTCGCTGAGACATCTGATGGGGTCATTGGTGGTGGTGTCAAGTTTTTCTACCCTGTCCAAGATGGAGAACATGCTTTCCATGAGCCTTAAAATCGCTTTACTTGTTTCTAGTTTGGAAGGCACAATTTTTTCCTTTAGCCTTTAGTGGATTAATCCTTCTTGAGTGTTGAACTGCAAACTGAAATACTTTCTCCACATTGGCCCTGAGTGCAAATTTTTCCAAGTTAATCTCTCATTCATGTTTCTGAATTGGAGAATGAGCAGTGTCAAGTATGAGTAAAGGGCTTGGCATCAAAATGGACACTGTTGTTGAGCCTTGAGCAAAATGGGAAGTGTGCCAAAGGCTCAGCTCAGTCCACAAAGGGAAGGTGATAGGAGAAGGCTGAGAAGGGGGGCGTCAGGCTTCTTTTCCATTCCATGTCTATCTTTTGTCATAGCAGGCCACCTGAGTACAGCCCCCAGTACCTACATTCTGGACTGTGTCAACTTAGGCATAGATACGCCTTCTCCTTGAGTGTACCTATTTGCATGACCGCCACCTAGAGACTTTTTGGAATGAGCACGTGCTTTTAGAATCTCACCGTGTTTTGGAATCCAGTCTTTCTATTCCATGCATTACAGTGTTTCTTCCTTCTTTGCTGCTGCTGCTTCTTCCTCTTCTTCTTCTTCTTTTTTTTTTTTTTTTTTTTTGTAGCATTGATGGCCCATGTGGAAGACTTGATTATTAAGACTATAATCTCTGCTGAACTAGCAATTGCTACAGCCTGTAAAACCTTTGTTCCTCACCGCAGCAGTTGTTTTGGTAAGGAGACTCCAGAAGCTTAATATGTTGTATGAAAGGGGCTTGGGAAGTTGGGATGGGCTTCTGGGGTAGAGAGGCTTAGTGATTCTACAGGAGTAAGAGGTGTGTGGTGGGCTTTTCTTTCTAGGCCCACAAAGCACATGAAGGTCCTGCTAAGAGGCCAGTGGTGAGCTTACTTGGAGGTCCCCTGAGGACTCACTAGCTTTCTTTGTGGGAAGCAGGAATTGGAACTAAAGTATGGGTCTCTTTGTCAGAGTGCAATCAGAAAAAGCCTGCAATGGACTATACAGGAATCCAGCTCTAACAAATATATTCCAGAGCTCTTTGGCAGCCAGACTGGGAACCATTCCAAGAAGCTCTGGCTGGTACCAGTATGTGCTTTCTCCCAGTTTCCAATGACTCCTCCTTTTTGTTTTAGTCTTTTTTCTAGTGGGTTTCTTCCCCCCACCCCTTCTTCTCCTCCTCTTCCACCTTCCCTCCCCTTTTCTCCCACCCATAACTCCCCAACTGCACAGAGAAGGAGTGAGAAACAGTTTAGAGCTCTTGGATCAGGAAGCCTGTTGCCTGCTGAGCCACTAAGCTGTGACTGGCACTGAGGGCTCCTGCGCATGTGTGATTTCTGTGTGGATGTGGGCTCTGTAGTGATTGCCAATGTCAGTATCTGTATTCACTAGGCTTTCAACAGGTGTTAGGCTTTGTTAGTAAAACACAGTAGGGTCGTTGTTGGGGGGATAGTTGAAGTAATACAGTAAGTAAGGACATAAGAGGCATGGCTTGCTCGGGAGGCAGGGTAAGAATAAAATAAAGAACATGGGCTTTAGAGCCTGATGGAGTTAGTTTAAAAGCCTTTCGCACCCCTTACTAGTTTTCTCATTTTCATCAAGTTCCTCCAATCCTGTTTCCTCAACTTTAAAATGGCAATAATGAAGGGCACCATGACGATCAAATGAGATGATGTGTGCAGAGCACTTGGCCCAATGTCTGATCTGTAATTCGTACTCAATAGAAATTATATCTTTGTTATTTTTATAGCTAGAATTAATAATTCTTGGTCTCTTTCATGGATTATCATAACAGTCTATACTTGAGGGGCACTAAACAAAGTGGGTTTTGAGACTCTGAATAGAAGAGTATAGATAAACCAGGACCTGATGTTATAAAAGAAGAGATTGTGACATCTTTTCTAAATGCAGATATGTTCATGTCTTGTGAAACCCTTACATGGCTCCTTAGGCTTAACTAGTAAGTAGAAACTTGGTAGGACTTCAAGACTTCTAAGGACCTGACCCTTTTTTCTAGAAATGTCTAGAATTCCCTCTTATAGCTTATAATCCAACTATACCATTGAGCACTCCATGCCTTTGTGCCTCAGTATAAATTCTGCTGTCCTGTCTGCCTGGCGCACTCTGTTCATATTCTGAAAATCAGCTTGACATTACCTTTCCTAGGAACTCTTAACAAAGTACCCCGTTGTGTCTCCTTTCTCATGTTGTTCGTACTTGTTCCATTATGCTTTTCTCCCACCATATTGTGATGTTTTCTTTACACATGTACTTCCCCGGTAGTCTCTGAACTTATCTTCTCAATTCTCAGCAGCCACTGTGTCTCCCCTTCCCCCTCACCCTCTCTTTGGCAAACCAAACCTTTCACCATCTCCCTGGACCTGCCAGATCCTTCCCTCTCCCTCTCCCTCTGCACTTGTTTTATCCTGCGTCTGACATTTTTCTCATGTTGCTTTACTTAATAGATTATCAACATCTTTTCAAGATGAAGTCAAGTATCAGTTCTTTGGTGAATTTTTTCCTTAGTATTCTAGTCATAGAGAGCCCTCTCAGCCCCCAGTTTTCCACTTATAATCTGCAGTGGTACCCGATTGTCATCTGGTACCCATTTATATGTCTGGCCTCCCCCCATTGGACTAGAATCTTGCAGACAATACTAGTGTTTCCCTAGTTTCTGCTGCTCTTGTGCTCAGTAGCCTTGTTTTTGTTCTTAGAGGATGTTTAAGAAATGTTTGGTGAACGAATTTGTTGGTACTTGCTTTAATTACCTTTTGGTGGCATGGTCGTAGGCTTCTCGATAGGTCTGCTTTGGTAAGGGCCTAGAGCTCTTAGCATTACTGTAAAGTGTTTGAGGAAGGAGTGCATAGAACATCTCTTCAACTTCAGAAATCTTACTAGATTAAAAAACTAAAGTTTCTTTTCCACATCTACTTGGCTCTTATACGAGAGTAAATTTCTTGGCGTAAAAATCTTTGTTGTAGAAATAATCATAAGCTGTACTGAAGGTTTCCTTTTCTATTTGTTTTATTACCTGATTGCCTTTTGGAAGCTTGAGAATTTCTGGAACTTAACGGCAGTAGAGATTCTGACATGAAATAAGCAGTGACTTTCTCTGACTCAGTGAAATATCCCTAAGTCTATTTCATCATCCACGGGTCCCCTTTCCCCCCTCCCTGCTTTTCTTCAGTTTTAATAAAGTGAGTGCATCTGGAGTTTTTTAAGTTGTTGACTGTCTTCTTGGCTTTTGTGGTTCTCATTCACTTCCTGTCAGCCCTGGGATTTTGTGTGCTTCGTTAACCTCCCCCCCCCCCCCCCCCCCAGATACGATTTTGTATACGTGTGTCTATTTGTGTGAGTCTCTCTGGCTCCCACTGACTCCTGCTAACTTCCCCTGGGATTTAGTTACAAGGAATAAACTGGGTTTGTTTTTTCTTTCTTTGTTTCTTATTTGTTTTAGAGTAAACAGGAATCAAGAGCTTCCCAGAAGAATTTGGCTTGCACAGAGCATTGGTGCTTATGGTGGAAGTCAGTAGTCTAGTGATGAGGTTCACTATATTCTTTTGGTTGTAGTTTCACCCTTACACATTATGGATGTTGGCCAGGAGCATTCCATTACTATCTAGATGTTTCTGTCTTTATGATTTCTTTCCCATTCTACCATCTGAAGTCCCCAATTATGCTTTTTGACACTTCCGGTATTCCCATTCATTTGTTTATCTATGCATTTAACTTACTTTTAGTCCCTGCTATGCGCAAGGTGTCATTATAAATGTTGTTCTTCTCAAGCTGGAATTTTACATGGGATGATACATACATAGACCTGCACTGTATTATTGGCATTTAAATGTAGACTTAGAAATCTTCACAGACCATCTGAAACTTAGCCATGTAATGCCTTCTCATAGATTTATAAATCTGAAAAGGACCCCAGAGAATAATTAGTGCATATAAAGACTTGAGGCCTGAGAAACTAAGACCCTTCCTGAGGTTCCAGAGCTTAACAGTGGAAGAGCCCACATGAAGGACACCTGGCCTGGAGGGCAGGGGCCCACAAGGTGATTGGCAGTCTGGTCATCTTGAGCATTGCACTTTTGATTTATAGGGTTTTTAATGTCTCTCCCAATAAAATAGATTTCTGGCAGTCTAATTTTTACTACCTTCAAGACTGTAAAAATATGGTACCATGTGAAATATATGTGTAAACAGCAGCCCTTTAAGTATGCTTGGGACATTGGCACTGTTACATAACTGGCAATGAGAACGGCTTTTTTGACCAGTTGAGGAAAAATAGCCAAGAGCAACAGGATGTTAGCTGTCCCTTACAGATACTGCTGCTGACAGCAGTTTTATCTATGTGTGTGAAGATGGCTGAAATAACAGGCTATGATCCTGGTCCTCTCCAGCCTGGGATCTTCTGAGCCAGCTGTCGTGCCATAGAGGCTGGCTTTGTGTAGGTCAAAGACCAGTGATGTCTTTGCTCAGGACAATCCATGCTCAGTACACCTCTCTTTGGTGAATGAATGCTAGTTTGGCCTTCCATTGCTCTTGTTCTAGACCATTTCATAGGGTAATCTGACATCTGCAAAGGGTGGGTGTCCATAAATACTTGTTGAAGGAACGAAAGTGGGCAGCATACATTCCCCAACTGTGTAAACTACTTGACCACCACTGACAAAATCATAATGAAAGTCAACAAGCAGTTCGCTTTGTTCCTTCTTTTTTTAAACAGTTCACTTTTCGAGAGAGTCTCCTTTCTGCTTTATCCTATGCTCTTATTCAGGTGGGAAGGGAAATTTACTGTAGAAGGGGCTTGGGAGGACATACCTACTGTTTGTCAAGTGCTTTTCGTTGGTTATTCCCTTTAGCCCTCTTAAGAGTTTTGTTGGGGGATCCCTGGGTGGCGCAGCGGTTTGGCGCCTGCCTTTAGCCCAGGGCGCGATCCTGGAGACTCGGGATCGAATCCCACGTCAGGCTCCCGGTGCATGGAGCCTGCTTCTCCCTCTGCCTATGTCTCTGCCTCTCTCTCTCTCTCTCTCTCTCTCTCTCTCTCTCTGTCTGTGTGACTATCATAAAAAAAATAAAATAAAATCTTAAAAAAAAGTATATAAAAAAAAGAGTTTTGTTGGTATTTATTACCCATATTTTATAGCTAGAAGAAAGGATTTGGAAAGGTTAAATAATTTGTCCTAGGTCATGCAGCTAACAAATGGCAAAGCCAAGTTTGGGAACCAGGTCTCTGTAGCTCTTTCTCCACTCACATAAAGACAAATTCTGATGAGTCTGAACACTTTTGGTATGCTCCATATCCTGGATTCTCCTCCTGCTCTCCTATAACTTGATCTCAGGAAAAATGGTATCATTCTCTTTAGCAGATCAGGCCTGAAAAAGGCACTCTTTTGGCTCTAATCAACAATACCAAGTCCTAGATACTCCTTTCAAATCTACCTTTACATGTGGTAGCCAGATACCATATTGATTTATTGGACTAGTTAACAAATTGGCTCTGGGCTTTTTCTTTTATTTAGTTCATTTTCCTGTGGGATCTGGATCTGCTTTTTTCTAACTTCTCCTTCTGGACCCCAGATAAAGACTTCCTCCTTAGGTTTTCAACTCAAATCCAAAGCCAAGGTAAAAAGAATTTCCTTTATACAATATCATTTGACTGACAGTGCAGACTGGCTAATGTCAGCACTTTCCATCCAGTGCCTCAGGATTACA